TCTAGAAATTGTACTCAATATTGGACTGAACATTAAATCAGATTAGTGGACCAGCATGGATATAAGAAAACTGGAATAAACATTAAAATATGAACAGCTCTAATAACAGTTTCTTAGTCAATGTATCAGAAACATTCTCTAAAAGCAAAAAACGAAATTACATACATCGATTTCTCATTTCCCAAAAGCATCTCGATAACACTGAAAGTTTCTTTGATCCTTATCAGGTTATTCAACATCAGCTTTTGGGAAATAGTACAACCACACACTCTCTGATAGTATTGAAACGCAAAACAACTTGAGTAGCATGTCATGTACTATTATTCCCAATGAAGTTTAGCAAGGTTATCCATTAATCAAAAGTGTGGGGAAAGAATCACAAGATTTAACCTGAAAACTAACCTATCCATAGCATGCCAGATATGATTCGCATTGCCACTATGAATGATGACACCACAGTGTTAGATCAGTCACCCTCTCGCGTACCTCTATGCTCCGCATTCATTGGGTGCAGCCTTAACCATGGAAGCTTGAGAATCTAAGTCGTCTCCTGGTACCCAGTTTCTTTGAGTGCAGAGTATTCACTGATGAAGAGATGTACTCATTAGTATGTGGAAAAGATCATATTTAAATAAGAGTGCAAAGTTCTATGGAGCTGCCATCCTTTTGGAATGTGAATAATTTTTGGTTGAAGAGTCTGACAGACTCGAACGAACTGGGCAGAGAAGATAGGAGTAATAGAGGTTAGGTAAAGAATCGGATTATGGACAAGAAATACACACTCTTAGACAATCTATCTTAGAGTGAAAGATTTGCTACTAATTCTGTAGTACCACATCACCAAAAAAAAGATACCATCTTGAACTACAGTTCAAAGTAAACATTTTTAAACTTGGCCATTAAAAACTCCATTGTATAAACAAAACTCAAACAAGTATATTTTTTTATGTCAGAGACAAAGGTCTTCCTATATTGCCCAGCACAATGGTGCTTCAAGTGATCGTCCCTGCCTCGACTCCAAAATCAGCACCTGATACTGTTGTGATAAAGCACAACACACACCTGACCTAACTTCTAACATTTATTTGAACATCTTCATTTGCTATTATATCAGGCATAAAGTAATTCGACATAATAATGTCTTCAGGGTTTTTTTTTGTTTTTTTTCTTGAGACAGACGTCTCACTCTGTTCCCTTTGGCTACGGAAGGCCATCGGCGTCCTGCCTACTCATCAGGTCAACCTCAAACTCCTGGTGCTACAAAACTTCGCCTCCCCTCCGCGACGCTGGGTACTATGGAATGTGCACCTATGCCTGTCTAATTTCTTATTCTCTATATATTTTTAGTTTGGCCAATAATTTCATTCGTATTTTTAAGTTAAGAGATCTGTCTCTGTCTGCTCAGGGCTGGTTTGAACACCTTAAGCCCATGCATCAGATCCTTCCGCCTCCGGCATCAGTCATGGCTAGGATTATCAGGCGTGGAGCCACCACGCCTCAGCCTGCAATGAATCGATTTTTTTACAACACTCTATTGGCTGAGGAAGATATATATTAGCGTCTGCTACTTCATATAATCGTCGATAATGCTGGAAGATGTTTCCTTTCTTAGTATCACATAGTCCAAATGGATGTACTATAATCTATAGTAATAGATAAACCAATTCCCGGCACAGAGGTAACCTCATCTCTACACCAAATAGAAACACTCCTGAATAGAGAATGATATACCAAGGATTTCAATTCCTAGCGATTCCTACCCCAAATGTGGAACGTATAGCAACAGATGACAATTTCATCGCTTGTTGGCCACAAGAAATTTTCAAGACAGTTTTTGCTGGGCGTGAGGGAATCATGGGTGGCACTCAACCTGTGTGGTTGCATTGGAGATAGTAGAGCACAAAATTAAGCGGTGTGTAGGTTGAATTGCGAGATTTTATATACTCCATTTCAAAAAAGTCCTAGATCAATAAATAGATCCTTCTTATTCAATATTAATTTTTTGAGACAGAGTCTCTCTTTGTTGTCCAGGCTAGAGTGAGTGCCGTGGCATCAGCCTAGCTCACAGCAACCTCAAACTCCTGTGTTCAAGAGATCCTGCTGCCTCAGCCTCCCGAGTAGCTGGGACTACAGGCTGCACCACCATGCCTGGCTAATTTTTTCTATATATTTTAGTTGGCCAATTAATTTCTTTCTATTTATAGTAGAGACGGGGGTCTCACTCTTGTCAGGCTGGTTTCGAACTCCTGACCTTGAGCAATCCGCCCGCCTCAGCCTTCCAGAGTGCTAGGATTACAGACATGAGCCACCTCGCCCAGCCTGTAATCAAGTTTTTAAGATTTCATATATGAGTGAGATCATGCAGAGTATGTGCATTTTAATTTTGATGCATCTGGAAAAATGATATCCTATTCCTCCAAATCCTACAAATTAATGTTAACAATAGTATATGAAAGTGCTTGTTTTCCCAAATATTATCAAACATTTTAGAGTTTTTTGTTTGTTTTTCTTTATTCATTTCTTATTTATTTATTTTATTTCAAAATATTATAGTGGTACAAATGCTTTGGTCACATAAATTGCCTTTGCACTGCCTGAGTCAAAGCTACAAGTGTGCCCATACCCCACACAGTGGGCACTGTACCCATTTGGTGTGAATTTACCCAATCCTCTCCTCCCCCCTCACCTGCCCAATCTCCAATGAATGTTACTTCCATATGTGTACATAGTGTTGACCGATGAGTACCAATTTAATGGTGAGTACATGTGGTATTTGTTTTCTCATTCTTGTGATACTTCACTTAGAACTGGCTTCAGCTCTATCCAGGATAATACAAGAGATATTGGTTCACTTTTTTTTATAGCTAAGTAGTACTCCATGGTATCCATATACCACATTTTATTAATCCACTCATGTATTGTTGTTTCCACATCTTTGCAATTATGAATTGTGCTACTATAATCATTCGAGTGCTGATATAAATAGAATGTCTTTTTTTCCTTTGGATAAATACCCAGTAATAGTATTGCTGGATCAAATGGTAGTTCTACTTTTAGTTCTTTGAAGTATCTCCATACTACTTTCCATAGAAGTTATACTACTTTGCAGTCCCACCAGCAGTACATGAGTGTTCCTATCTCTCCACATCCACGCCAATATTTGTTGTCTTGGGACTTTTTGATAAAAGCCATTCTCACTGGAGTTAAGTGATATCTCACTGTGGTTTTGATTTGCATTTCCCTGATGATTAGAGATGTTGAGCATTTTTTATGTTTGTTGGCCATTAGTCTGTCTCTTTTCAAAAAGTTTCTTTTCATGTCTTTTGCCCACTTTTTAAAAGGTTTGTTTGATTTTTTCTTGCCTATTTGCCTGACTTCTTTATAGATTCTAGCTATCAGCCCTTTATTGGATGTATAGCATGCAAATTTTTTCTCCCATTCTGTAGGTTATCTATTTGCTTTAATGATTGTTTCCTTGGCTGTGCAGAAGCTTTGTACTTTGATCAGGTCCCATTTATTTATTTTTGTTGCTTTTGGGGTCTTCTACATAAATTCTTTGTCTAGGCCAATGTCTATAAGAGTTTTTCCAACATTTTCTTTTAGAATTCTTATTGCTTCATGCCTTAGATTTAAGTCTGTTATCAGCATGAGTTGATTTTTGTGAGAGGTGAAGATCCTGTTTCAGTCTTCTACATGTGGCTATCCAGTTTTCCCAGCACCACTTGTTGAATACGGATTCTTTTCCCCACTGTGTTTTTCTCTGCTTTGTCAAAGATCAGATGTCACTATAAGGATGGTTTTATATCTAGGTTCTCTGTTCTATTCCCTTGGTCAATATCTCTGTTCTTGTGCCAGTACCATGCTGTTTTGGTTACTCTGTTATCAAACATTTAGATTACATTCCTTTGTGAAGGGACAAATACTATCTCATTTTTACTTTTTGTCATTTTACATTTATCTCATGCTTACTTATCTTTAATTATGAGTAGGGATGAACAATTTACTTTTTTTTTTTTTGAGACAGTCTCACTCTGTTGCCTGGGCTAGAGTACTGTGGCATCAGCCTAGCTCACGGCAACTGCCAACTTCTGGGCTCAAGCAATCAATCCTACTGCCTCAGCCTCCTGAGTAGCTGGGACTACAGGCACATGCCACCATGCCTGGCTAATTTTTTCTCTCTTTTTTTAGTTGTCCAGCTAATTTATTTCTATTTTTTTTTAAGTAGAGACAGAGTCTTGCTTTTGCTCAGGCTGGTCTCAAACTCCTGAGCTCAAATGATCCTCCCACCTGGGCCTCCCAGAGTGCTAGGATTATAGGTGTGAGCCACTGCTCCTGGCTGAACTATTTACTTTTGAAATTTAAATTATTAACTAATAGGTAATTAATTAATTTTACACGGTACTTTTATGTGGTTGTAATTACTTAGCAGTTAAGTCTTCAGTGGTGGTAGAGTAAATTAATCACTCCTTTGTCTACACAGTGGCTTCTTTTTCACCTGGAAATTACAGTGTTGTTCACGAATTTCTTGTAGAGGGAATAAAGGTAATTAGCATTCATTAAGTCTAAATGAACCTCTTCTATAGTTTTCAAATCTGACCTGAACTTTTACCAGATCCACTAAGAAAGTGGAAGGTTGATTATTATGAATTTCAAGCTTTATTCATTCTATTTCTGTTGTGGTGGTGAAGTGGGTAGTATCAAGAGTCAATCCAGCTGATTAGCAATGTTAAGAAAAAATAAAAAGTAAGAGCCAGTAGATAAGAATATGGAAGATATAAGAGAGCTGGATAATGTACAAATAGCAAGCAATCCTGAAGTATTAGAAATTGTCTCAAATTTAGCTAACATTAAATCCAGATATGGACAGCATGGATTAAGAAACTGGAATAAAATAAAATATGAAAGCCTTAACAGTTTCTTAGTAAGCTGATCAGAACATTCTCTAAAAGCAAAAAACAAATATACCCATCTTTTCTCATTTCCAAAAGCAATTCTCTTACCTGAAAGTTTTCTTTGATCCTTTCAGGATTAAAGCTTTTGGGAATGACAACCACCCCTCTCTGGATGTTGAAACGCAAAACAACTTGAGCTGCTGTCTTATTGTACTTTTTTCCCAATGAGTTTAGAAGTTCATCCTTTAACAAAGGTGGAGAAGACAAATTTACCCTGAAAAAAAAAAATCCAAGCATGCATCTTATTTAGCTTGAATGATGAGAACCACAGGTTAATCAGTCACCCTCCTCCTCTATCTCCGCATTCATCTGGTCACCTACCAGGATGCTTGAGGTCTCCTATAACCAGTTTCTTTGAGTGCAGAGTACTCACTGAATGAAGAGTGTCTCTTAGTATGGGAAGATCAAAAGAGGCAAGTTTATGGAGCTGCCTCCTTTGGAATGTGAATAATTTTGGTTTTGAAGAGTCTGACAGAGAGAACTGGGCAGGAAGTAGGAGTATAGGGTAGGTAGGAAGACTGGAGTGGAAGAAATACAACTCTTAGAATCATCTTAGAGTGGAAAGATTTCTACTTAATTCTGTGGAACACATCACCAGTAAAAGTATTACCATTGAATACAGAGTTCAAAAAGTTCCAACATTTTTAAACTTGGCCATAAAAACTCCTTTGTTAAAAAATAAACTAAGTATTTTTTTTTTTTGGTAGAGACAAGGTCTCACTATATTGCCCAGCCTGGTCTTTCAAGTGATCTTCCTGCCTTCGCCTCCCAAAGCACTTGGGATTACGTGTGTAAGCCACCACACCTGACCTAAACTAACATTTATTGAACATTTCCTTTATATCAGGCACTTATAAGTAATTTCATACATATAATGTTATTGGGGTTTTTTTTTTGTTTTTTTTTTGAGACAGAGTCTCACTCTGTTCCCTGGGCTAGAAGGCCATGGCGTCTGCCTAGCTCACAGCAACCTCAAACTCCTGGGCTCAAACTTTTGCCTCAGCCTCCTGAGTAGCTGGGACTATAGGCATGTGCCACCATGCCTGGCTAATTTTTTGTCTCTATATATTTTTAGTTGGCCAATTAATTTCTTTCTATTTTTAGTAGAGATTGGGTCTCGCTCTTGCTCAGGCTGGTTTGAACTCCTGACCTTGATCGATCCTCCCGCCTCGGCCTCCCAGAGAGCTAGGATTACAGGCGTGAGCCACCACGCCCAGCCAATGTAATCGATTTTTACACCACCAGGCGAGGAAGGTATTATTAGCTCTAATTCATATATGTGGATAATGACTTGAAGAGGTTACTTTCTTAATATCACATAGCCAAATGGAGTCATTCAAGTATAGTAATTCCCGGTAACCTCATACTCTACACCAAAAGAAACACTTCCTGAAGAGAAGTACTTACCAGGTTTCATTCCTAGAGGTCCCCAAAGGGCTATATGCAACAATGACAATTTCATGTTGTTGGCAAAATTTCAAGAGTTTTTGCTGGGTGAAATATGGGTGGCACTCAACCTGTGTGGTTGCATTGGAGAGTAGAGCACAAAATTAAGGTTGTGTAGTTGAATGCAATTTTATATACTTTCAAAAAAGTTCGTCAATAAAATCCATTTTAATTAATATAATCTTTTCCATACTATATATTAATTACATTTTGTATCCTGGTCTTTCTCCTTAATATATTGTTCATTTCTCTTCCTCAAAAGTGATTCAAGAACATCTTTTGCTAAGATTTCACACAATATGAATGTCTTATAATTTATTTAATCATTCCCCTAATTTTTTATATTATGTTGTTTCTATTTTTCCATTATAAACAATGAAGTGATACTCATAAAAGGCTATCAGTGCATTCTAATATTTTTTATTAGAATAGATTCTTAGAAGACTGAACATTTTTTAAGGCTCTTGATATATATTGTCAAATTGATTTTAAGTAAGGCTGATCCAATTGGTACTCACCAGCACTTTATCACTTGGTTCCATGAGCATTATATAAAAATAAGACAAAAACTTTGCCAGTTGATGTGCAATACAAAAATAACACTTAAAGATAAGTTTCTCTCATAGTGAGTTGAACATTTTTCATGTTTACCAATGTTGCAACTTGTCTTCTGTGAATTTCTGTTCATTTCTTCTGCTCATTTTTTTTTTTTTGGCTGAGCCCTAGTATTCTTTCCTCATTGATTTTTTTATTTACTTTTAATTCTTAAGGATATAAATCTTTTAAAAGTATATTTAAAAAATATAATTACCTATTTTTTCTTTAATTGTTCCTAGTATTTTTAGTTTAGCATTTTATACTATTCAATTTATTACAATTTTCTTTATGATTTTGTTATGGCTTTATTTTCTATCCATAGTTCTAGGAAACTAAAATTCTTTAGTTGTATTTACAAATTATTTCCTCTTTCTTCTTTAACATCTAATGAAAGGGACATTAACTTTGGAGTATACAGCAGAGATTTATGTTTGTTTCTATAGAAACTAGCCATTTTTCTCACACTATTTACTGGAAAATTTATTCCTTTGTCTATTAGCTTGTGCTACTTTATTCTACATTAATTTTTTATTAAACTTGGGCCTGTTTCTAAGATACTTGTTATTTTCCATTTATTTATATGTTGGTTCTTACACTATCCTTACATTATTTTAAATATTTTATACTGTGTCTTAATGTCTGACAGATATTGTCTCCTAATTATTTTGCTTCAAAAAAAAAATCTTGGTTACTTTTGCCTGGATTTGAACTTTTAAATATTTTTTTTTAAATGACATAAATTGAGAGAAGTAAAAAAACTTGCCCAGGGCAAGGACTTCTTGAGTAATACCCCCAAAGTGCAAGCAACCATAGCAAAATTGGACAATGCAATCATATCAAACAAAAAAAGCTTCCCTAGTTCTCTGGGAGGCCATGGTGGGCAAATTGCTCAAGTCAGGTTCGAACCAGCCTGAGCAAGAGCAAGACCCTGTCTCTACTATAAATAGAAAGGAATTAATTGGCCAACTAATATAGGTAGAAAAAATTAGCCAGGCATGGTGGTGCATGCCTGTAGTCCCAGCTACTTGGGAGGCTGTGGCAGGAGGATCGCTTGAGCCCAGGAGTTTGAGGTTGCTATGAGCTAGGCTGATGCCAGGGCACTCAGTCTAGCATGGGCAACAAAGTAAGACTCTGTCTCAAAAAAAAACTAAAACTAAAAAGCTTCTTCAAGCAAACAATAAAGTGAAGAGACAACCCACAGAATGAGAGAAAATATTTGCAAACTACCCATCTGACAAGGGATTAATAACTAGAATATATAAGGAGTTTCAACAACTGAATAGGAAAAATCTAATAATCCAATGAAAAAATGGGCAAATGATCTGAATAGACTTTTCTGAAAGACATAGAAATGGTCACTGCTCAACATCATTAGTCATCAGAGAAATGCAGACCGAAACTACAATGAGATATCATCTCACCCCAGTTGAAATGGCTTTTATGAAAAAGACAGGCAATAAACGCATGCTGGTGAGGATGTGGAGAAAGGGGAACCCTCCTACACTGTTGATGTGAATGTAAATTAGTCTAACCACTATGGAAAACAGTAATGGAGGTTCCTAAAAAACTATAGGTAGAACTACATATGATCCATCAATCCCACTGCTTGGTTTATATCCAAAGGAGGGGAAATCAGTATATCAAAAAGATCCTTGCATTCTCATGTTTGTTTCAGCACAATTCACAATAGCCAAGATATGAAATCAACATAAGTATCCATAAACAGATGAATGGATAAAGAAATTGTGGCAAATATTCACAATGGAACATTATATAGCCACAAAACAGAATGAAATCCTGCCATTTGTACTGACATGGATGAAACTGGAGAACATTACAATAAGTGAAATAAGCCAAGCACAGAAAGACAAATCTGGCATGTTCTCCCTCATATGTGAGAGCTAAATATTAAAAACAGTTGATCTCATAGAGACAGAGAATAGAATGGCGGTTACCAGAGGCTGGGAAGAGTAGCAGGGAGGGGAGGATAAAGTGAGGATGCTTAATGGGTACAAAAATATAGTTATCTAGTTATATAGAATGAACAATATATGATAGCATAATAAAATGACTATAATCAGCAATAAGTTAGAGTGTACTTTAAAATAACTAAAAGAGTAGAATTGGAATGTTCCTAACACAAAGAAAATAAAAATATCTGAGGTGACAGATACCCCAGTTACCCTGATTTGATTAATTCACATCTAATACCTGTATCAAAACATCACATTTACCCCTATAAAGATATACAACTATTTTTTATAAAAGGATTTTTTTCCTGGCTAAAAGATATACAACTATTATGTACACATAAAAATTAAAAATTAAAGAAAAGAGACCTGTCAAGGGTCCCATGATGAAATTTATGTGGAACAACCACAAGACGTAGTCTAGGCTTCTATTTGTTACGTAAATATTACATTGGCTTCCCCGAAAACCTCCAGGAGGGCCTGGTAAGCTATACCTGGTTGCTGACTGGCTTGTGTTTGAGTCCTGGCTTGTTCAGGATGAGCTCCAGCTGCCTGCGGTTAAAATTGGATACTCCAAGGGATTTCACCAAGCCAGCATCTTTGCAAGCTTCCAAAGCCTGTAGAATAAATGCCAACAGGTTAAGAAAGAAGCCTCCCAAGAAGCAAGAATAAATACTTACAAGGATGACTGTTAATTCTTTAAAAAGAAAAGTACTCGGTATGTTAATAAGCATTCTATAAAGGAGAAGAGTGGGGGAGATGGATAGGTGGGAAGAAGCAGTAATTCTATGATTGAATGAGTTTGCAAAATATTGCAAGCCATATCTTCCCCTTGTATTTTCACAACGTATACCAGGACATTAATAATGATCCTTCTTCTCAAAATTTGTTGAGATTTTCTTAGTGGCATAGTACTTGAGCACCTTTTATAATGTTTTAGTGTATGTGAAAAATATGTATTCTCCTATTTTTAGATGCAGAAGTCTCTTTCTCATACATATGTGTATGTATATATACACACACATACCTGGCTCCATGAACAAATTTCAATGACCCCTATATATATACATTTTAATCTTCTCTCTTAACTCCTTGACTTTTTGAGTTATTTCCCAGAAATGGTAGCTTTTCTACAAGACAAAGGAGTTGAGATTCTGAAGGCCCAGGGCAGACTTCTTAACACCAAACCTTACCATCCCCCAAGACCTGCCCCAAGGCACATGGCTTCTCCTTAAAAAGCCCATGATCTTCCTTACTATGGAAGATGGATGAGGCAGCTTCTTCATCCTTCTCCCTACATCCCAAAATGTTACTGAAAGCTCAGCCACTTGACCACAAGGCCGACAAAAGACTTAACCTGCCTCAGGGATGCAGGCTAGGCTGCAGTTCCCAAAAGAGTGGAGAATGTTTTAAAAAGACAGAAAATCTTTTGCCCTCTTTTTCCCCAGGCCATTCCCTCTGTTACAAGATGTCTTTGTATTAAAAAATTCCTTTTTTCCTCAACAATCTTTGTTGCCTCAATAATTGGATCTTTGTCTGCAAGCAGTTGGATCTAGGCCAAAGCCCCCTTGCAGTTTGGATAACAATTATATGTAAAATTAGGCCTCACTTTTCTTGGCTTTTCAGTAATTAAAAAGAATATGTCAGAAATATTCCACTATAATGTTGAATTTATCAATGTCTTCCTGTATTCTATCAATTTTTCACTTTATATATTTTGGAGATATCTTATTTAGTACACATGTGTTTAAAATTGGTATAATCTTTTTGGTAAATTGAATCTTTTTTGTTTGCTTATTTTTTTAAAGAGATGGGATCTTGCTTGTTGCCTAACCTGGAGAGCAGTAACTCTATCATAGCTCACTGCAACCTCAAACTCCTGGGCTTAAGTGATTCTCCCTCCTCAGCCTTCCAAGTAACTAGGACTACAGGCATGTGCCACCATGCCTGGCTAATTTTGTGTGTGTGTTGCTCAGGCCGATCCAACTTCTGGCTACAAGTGATCCTCTTGCCTCAGCCTCCCAAAGTGCAGCTTTGGGAGGCATAAGCCACCGTGTGTAGACAAAAATAGAATCTTTTATCTTTATGTACAACACTTTCTATCCTTAATAATGCTTTTGATTTTTAAGTCTGTGTTATCTGATATTATTAATACTGTAACTTGTGAAGGAAAAATAAAATTTCAGGACCCCCAAAACTCATTATGTCAAAGGGAGAACTAAGCCTGGAACTGAGTCATGTAGCACTACAATCTTCTCCCCAAATACCTGTGATTTCAATATCTTTTTGTTAGGTAGATAGTAAGGGATTCTGGGTCTCCTCAGGACAGAAGTGGGTGCTATTGCCCCATCTTATTCCTGCCCAACCCTAATTCTCTATATCTGGTGGAGGAGGGAATACCCTATGAATCTGCCAATGAGAACTTGGCATGCTAGCTGCAAAAGAATGCAGAGGACTCTCTAGCCCATGGGCCAAGCAGCATAGGTACCATAGAGTCCAGAAATTGAACTAGAACAACCTGCATATGGAAGGATCAGGTCATGTGACTCCCAACTGTCCAATCAAAGTGGTTCTATGGTGATGCCTGAGCCACAGGGAAGTCCCTGTCCAGGCACTATAAAACAAGATGCCTGTAATCCCAGCACTCTGGGAGGCCAAGGCAGGAGGATCACTCAAGGTCAGGAGTTCAAGACCACCTGAGCAAGAGCGAGACCCTGTCTCTATTAAAAATAGAAAGAAATTAATTGTCCAACTAAAAATATATAGAAAAAATTAGCCAGGCATAGTGGCGCATGCCTGTAGTCCCAGCTACTCAGGAGGCTGAGGCAGAAGGATCACTTGAGCTCAGAAGTTTGAGGTTGCTGTGAGCCAAGCTGACACCACGGCACTCTAACCTGGGCAACAGAATTAAGACTCTGTTTCAAAAACAAAAAACAAAAAATGAGGCAGTCCATAACCAAGTCCCTGTATGCACCCTTCCTTTGGCTCTCCCTTTGCTGAGAAGTGGGTCTGGTGGTCATCTGTGGTTATGTACCATGCTCTGTAAACCTGTATCTTCCTCTTGCCCTATAATCCTATCTTTCTTTCTTCAATAAACCTCATTTTCATGCTTGCCTAACTATGATGTGTCTGGTCATTCTTCGGCCATGAGCGTGCCAAGAACTGACATTTCAGACTAAAACTTGACAACATGTTTTCAGTCATTTATTATATGCATTATCAAAATATAGCATGTAAACAAAAATAAAATCTTAAGTCCCCCTCCCCCCCCAGCCAAGGGGAACCCAGAAATACCCTAAAGCTGAGTTGCTGGCCATGAGAAGGGAAGTCAGATGTGCTTTCTCATGCCCCCCTCACTTCTTGGAGATATGCTTTGTAACTCATTAACCGGCCTAAGGCTATGCAAAGCAAAGCTTAAACCATACCTGCAGGTCATCAATTTAAAAGATCCCTTGAGTCTCAGTATATGTCCATGTCTGGTGGCTTGTTTCTGATTAACAGACTTCCTTATCTTAATTTTAAAGATTCCAAGCCTTTAGACAAAGCTTCATTTGTTTAACCAATTACAAATTAAAGAATCTTTAAACTCACTTATAACCTGTACTTCCCTGCTTGGAGATGTCCTGCCTTTTTAGGCCAAACCAATGTATGCCTTCTATGTGTTGATTTATGACTTTACAGTAATTCCTGCCTCCCTGAAATGTATAAAACCGAACTGTAACCCAACCACTTGCTCAAGGCTTCTTGGGTGAAGCTTTCTGGGCCATGGTAGCACATATTTGGCTCAGAATAAACCTCTTTAAATTTTGTACAGAGTTTGGGTTCTTTTCTGTTGAGAATCAACTTTTTTTTTTTGAGACAGAGTCTCACTCTGTTGCCCAGGCTAGAGTGAGTGCCGTGGCATCAGCCTAGCTCATAGCAACCTACCTCAAACTCCTGGGCTCAAGCAATCCTGCTGCCTCAGCTCCTGAGTAGCTGGGACTAGCGGCATGCGCGCCCATGCCGGGCTAATTTTCTATATATTTTAGTTGGCCAATTAATTTTTCTATTTTTAGTAGAGACAGGGTCTCGCTCTTGCTCAGCTGGTTTCGAACTCCTGACCTTGAGTGATCCTCCTGCCTTGGCCTCCCAGAGTGCTAGGATTACAGGCGTGAGCCACGCGCCCAGCCCAACTTTTTTATACCACTTTTTATACGTTTGGCTGATTCTTTTTAACTCTTTCTTACTTTTCAGTTTACACACACACACACCACACACCACTCTTTAATAAAGACAGTAACTTAGCCTCTCAGAAACAAAAATTAGGGTTCATTTCAGATGTAACAATTTACAGTGTGTCTTTATGTGGCAAAACTTTGTGAGTGTGCGTAGATCTGAACACATTATCTATGCATCAGTTTTTACCTTAAAGTTTGGTTGTGTCGACGGAAAAAACGCCACTCTGTAAAATAATTTTAAAGAGACTTATTCTGAGCAAATTTGAGGACCATGACCGGAGCCACTGCCAAGAGGCCTTGGGCAAGTGGACTTGCTGTGGCTGGGTTACAGTTTGGTTTTTATACATTTTAGAGACAAGGGTTGATGGGTAAAGCCATCAATCAATGTGGGAGGTATACATTGGTTTGGCAAAAGGAGGGGCCATCTCAAAGCGGCGGGCTTACAGGTTATAGGTGGGTTTAAAGATTCTTTAGATTGTAATTGGCTAAAGACATGAAGCTTGTCTAAAGATGTGGAATGTTTTAACATAACTGTTTACCAGAGGTAAGCCCACCTTTGTTACAAATAGAAGGCCTGCAGGTTGTTTTGCATACCCTCAGGCCTGTTAAGTGGTTACAAAGAAGTCTCTAAGAAGGGGAGGGGCGATGATAAGGCCTGTCTGACCTCTCCTCCTGGCGGCAACTTTGCCCTTGAATATTCCTCTGGCCACGAGGGGGTCTATTCAGTCAGCGGTAGGGGTTGAGGATTTTAGTTCACTGTTTCTTTTCAACACTTGTGAAAATGCTATTTCTTATGCTTTTCATCTAGTTTTGCTGATAATAAAACAAACTAATACCAATTTCATTGCATGCTGACTAGCTCTTTTTCTAAGTTTTAAATTTTGTTTAATTTTTAACATATTGAGTTATAACTGATGTACAATAAACGACACTTTGACAGTATACATTTTAATGAATTTATGCACCAGAAAATTATGAACACCTCCAATGGAATGTTGATAATTGTGTAACAAACAGCTATTGAAACCCCTCTTGTAAAATTAATAAAGGGCACAACATTAATTAATACAAAATTAATAAGGCGGGAACTGTGGTAGGGAATGATATATATATATACGTGTGTGTGTGTGTGTGTGTGTGTGTGTGTGTGTGTGTGTGTGTGTATGTGTATGTAACCAGCTATTGTTCTCTAGCTTGCTTTCCTATAATTGTCTACTACTCAGTAGTCACATAGCTGATGGCCATAAAGATTCTTAGCTTTCTTCATTGCTCCCATAGATAATATCACTCTTGTGAAACCTAAGGCTATTTTTAAAAATATCATCCAGGCCCTGCATTCCAGTGGAACAGCTGACCCACCCAGGCCAGTGGCCCATACTGAGGAACTTTACTGGTCTTGTGACCCCCATCTAAGGAAAAACTTAGCAAAGAAGACAACTTCTGTACCACTATGATTCTGTCCTGAATCTAGATAATTAGCAGACCCAATTGCCTAGCCTTTTGCCTGCCAAACTATCTTTAAAAACCCTGTCTCTCAAATTCTCAGGGAAATGGATTTGAGAACTTCCTCCTATCTCCTCACATGGTGCCCATGATATTAAAGTCTGTCTCTGTGGTAAGCCCTTCTATCTCCGTGTATTGACTTCCTCTTGATTAGTGGACAAGGAACCTGCTAAGGCTGTAACACCATCCAGAGGGGAAAAAAAAATCCCCTGATTTATAGTGTTTTTCAATTTCTGTGGTGTAACTACTCACACCGGGCTGCGCTCAAACTAACATGACATTACTGAATATAGATAAGAAGAGCTTTGCATAGTAGGTTCTCCCAAGCGGGTAATGAGCCAGTTTCAGTATATTCAGTATACCGTTTAAAAGATTCTCTCTCTCTTGGCACTTCTGTTGAAAATCAATTGACCATATGTCTCCGTGAGTGTATTTTAGCACTCTCTTTTCTGTTTCATTGATCTATATGTCCATCTTTATGGCAGTGTCATGATTACTGTAGATGTCTAACAATGCTTGCAATTAGTGTAAGTCCTCCCGATTATTTGCTTTTTTTTTTTTTTTACAAAGTTATTTTGGCTGTTATAGGTAATTTGCACTTCCATATAAATTTTAGAACTAGCTTTTCAATTTCTGTTGGGATTTCACTGGGATTACATTGAATTCATAGATGAATTTATTATCATCTTAACTATACTGAGTATTCTGATCAAGGAACATGGCATATTTCTTCATTCATTTATATCATATTTGGTTTCTTTCATTAATATGCTATAGCTTTTATTGTATAGGTCTTGCACAGATTTTATTAACTTTATCTCTAATATTTAATGTTTAATACTGCTTTAAAAATTGAATTTCCAGCCTGGGCATGCTGGCTCACACCTATAATCCCAGCACTTTTGGAGGCTAAGGCCAGGAGTTTGAGACTAGCCTGAGCTATGATCATGCCACTACATTCTGCCTAGATGACAAGCAAGACCCTGTATCCAGAAAAAAAAATATTCAATTTCCAATTGTGTGTTGCTAGTATATAGATTACATATAGATGTAGATTTTATTTATTTTTGTCTCATTGGTTGTTTACATGTGTGCTTCCAATTTGATCAGACAGCACTTTGTATAATTAGAATATTTTCAAATGTATTGAGACTTAATTTCTGATGTCTCAGAAAATTGCTGAAGTTCCACGTGCACTTGAAAAATAACATTCTGTTATACTTTGGTGGAGTGTTTAATAAGGTCAAGAACGTTGATAATGTTTAACTCTCCTATATCCTATAGATTTTCTGTATACTCAGCTCTGTTATTAGGTTTGTAGATGTTTAGGATTGACCCCTTTATCATTATATTTTCCCCATCTGTTTATTTCCCATCTTTTCTTCTTTTCTTGCTTCTTCTTGGATTGATTATTTTTACTATTCCATTTTGCCTCTATTATTAGCTTATTTGCTATACTCTGGAAATTTTAACATTTTCTCTTTATGTTTGATAATTTTTTTGTTTGTTTGCTTGTTTTAGAGATGGGATCTCACTATGTTGCCCAGGCTCTAGTGAACTGACGTATTCACAGGTGTGATCATAGGGTGCTGTGGTCTTGAATTTTGGGCCTTAAATGATCCTCCCACCTTCAGCCTCCCAAGTAGCTGAGATTACTGGTATACAACACTGCACCCATGATAGTCCTAAATGTTATTAGCTTCCCTCTTTTGCACTCCATGATCCAGTCAGTATCTTTGGGTTTTTTCCCCTCTAATATTACTTCTTGTCCTTTTTTCTTCTTGCTTTTTTCTTAGACTCCGATTGTGTAGATACTGGAAATTCTAATTTTATTTTTTACATCTCTTAGCTTTTAATATTTAAAAAAAAATTCTTGTTCTTTATTTCTTCATACTGGGAGATTTCTTCATTCTGATCTCTTAATTTGATATTTTTTAAAAAGTCTATGTCCATGCTACTATTTATCCCAATCTACTGCATTGGGTTTTTTATTTTTCCTAATTATTATTTTTGATTGTTTTTAAAATAATGTTTTATTGTTCTTGTTTCATATTGCTAATATCTTTTCTTATGTTCTTTAATATATTAACTGACTAATTTAAAGGTTCTTGGTTCTCTGTCCTGTGTATGTAATTGAGTTATGTTGTCTTCTTATGAAATAAATGCTTTGTTATTTCGGGCTATGAATTCATTTTCTCATGGGGATACTGACTACCCTATCAGGGAGCAGCCCCTTGGAAGCGTATGCCAGACTCCAAACCTGATTAGCTTCAGTGTGGTCAGGAGTGTATGCTGTCTTGGATGGAGAGCCCCAGGCACCAAACTTTAGTGCCTCCTCACCCCTCAAAACAACTCCACAGTTCAGATCTTCAGCTGTTTCCTCCAGGGGGAAGTAAATAGAAAGAGAGATTTACCAGAGTGTAATTTCCCATCTTGTGGAGTTTGGAATGGTATAGGTGGGAAACAACTGCCAGCTGTCAGTTAGTAACTTATGTTTTCTCATCTTCTCACAAGTGCAGGATTTTAGTGCTGCTCTAATTTATTCCCAAAGACACCTGAACACTAGTCCCTCAAGCTGTGGCAGGAGTAAAGGAAATGCAAAAAAAAAAAACCTCCAATAATTCCTCTCCTATATTCTTACTGCTCATTGGATTGCTTTCTACTCTAGGTCAAAGCTCATAAGCAAACCCATCCTTGTCTATGACTCCATAAGCATTTTCTTATCATTTTCCTACAGTTTTCCACTCTAGTGATCTTAGGGAGAGAGCTAGCAGCTTGCTCAGAAATGGAACAAGAATTGTTTCTAAGGTTTTTATGTATCATTTTGTTTTGTTTCTTTTAGACATCATATTATTGGTATTTTAAAATTCAATTCTTTAAATTTGTAAATTTATCTCATTAATATATTTTAATTACTGGTACATTAGAACATATTTCCTTTACTTTCTCCTTCCTTCCACACCACCTTTTCTTTTTACCTTGGCATTCTTCTCTTACAACAAAAGAAAACTGAGTATTATTCAGCATCCAGAAGTGGAGGTTTCATATACCTTTACTTACAGTTAGAAATACCTGTTCTGACTGTTACTTTCCCTTGGGAGTAAAGGCTGCATCTCTCCATAAATGACAGGAATCATCAAATTATAGTTTTTAGTCTTTTAAAATAAGGGGCCCATTTGAACTTACCTCCCAAGTGGCACACAGATTTGACTTGTGATATAACCATTTGCCATTCTCATCTCTGGGGTATATTTCATCTCCTGGCTGTAAAAAAAGCATAAGTATAATTCATTTTACTTATATCTGGCAATTAAAATTACACAGTTCGAATTGTCAATATACCTTTTTACACATGCTTCGACTTGTGGCAAAGTCCCATCCTGATAAACCCATTGTAAGTTGAAAATATTGTAAGTCACAAATCCATTTAATACCCCTAACCTAACCAACATCCTAGGTCATTTACTCTTGTGATCCCATGGCCGACTGGGAGCTGCAGCTTGCTGCCACTGCCCAGCATTGCGAGAGAGTATCATACTGCATACTACTAGCCTGGAAAAAGACCAAAATTCAAAATTCAAGGTCTGGTTTCTACTGAATGGGTAGTGCCTTCACACCATCGTAATGTTTGAAAATGTTAAGCTGAACCAGTGTAAGTCAGGGACAATCTGTACCTTGGTCCTGGGAAAACAATTCAAATTTACTTATTTCTTTGTCTATATAAATATATAATAGATAAGATACACTTTTATATGTGTATTATATATGTAGTCATATATCTCTTAGTGATAGGATATGTTCTGAGAAATGTGTTGCTAGGCAATTTTGTCATTAAACTCTAAAGGAAAATATTAATAAAAAATCTTAGGACCCTCAAACTGCTTGTGCCAAAAGGAAAGCTAAGCCTGGAGGCTGAGTCAGGCAATACCCTTTTCCAAATGAGTAGCTGTTACTTCACATTTCTAGGTGTCTCCCTTGAGCTTCTACTGTGTCTACTTTACAAATCCTTTCATCCTGATAAACCTCACTGTCTCTTTCCTCCATTCCTGTTTTCCACTGTCAGCCACTATTGGAACAATAATCCAACCCTTTAAATATCCATGCGGTTGACTCTCATTCTTGTTCATCTTTTAATCATATCTTATAACTTTTTAAATTTTGTTGTTCTAAAATTATGTCTGCTTCTTAACTTGACACTTAAAAAATAATCAACTTTCAAGGTCATGAATGAGACTGAAAAAAAAATTTAAAAAACCAAAAAATAAATAATAAAGTGCACCAAGAAAGGGTTTTAATCATAAGATTAAAAAAGCATTTGATATTTTAGCTTCAAATATTGATTTTTCCATTATAGGTTTAGTTGGCAGGTAAAATCATTATGTTGTGTCATTTCACACTATTAAAAGTTTTGCCTTCTGTGTCTTTGAGCTTTGATACCACCAAGAATAAGAATAGAAATTCTCTATTCACCTTCTCCAAAAGGATTTTCAATGCAATTAGCCACAAAGAAGTAAATTTTGTATTCTCACTTTTAAACACAGTCATGTGCTGTATATTTCTGTCAATGATGTACTACATCCATGATAGTGGTCCCATAAAATTATAAAGAAGCTTAAAAATTCCTGTTGCCTAGTAATACCATAGCTGTCATGTTTATGGTGATGCTATTGTAAATAAACTTACTACACTGACAGTCATGTAAAAGTATAACACATAATTATAACAAACAGGTAGGTATGTTACTGCTTTATGAACTATACTATACTTTTTATTATTAGAGTGTACTCCTTCTACTTATTAAAAAAATGTATAAAACAGCCTCAGACATGTCCTTCAGGAGGTATTCCAGAAGAAGGCATTGTTGTCATAGGAGATGACAGCTCCATGCACATTATTGCCCCTGAAGACCTTCAAATGGGACAAGATATGGAGGTGGAAGACAATGATAGCAGTGATCCTGACCCCATGTAGGCCCAGCCTAATGTGTTTGTTTCTGTCCTAATTTTTAACAAAAAGCATATAAAGTTAAAAAAAAATTAATAGGAAAAAAGCTTATAGAATAAAGATATAAAGAGAATATTATTGAATAGCTATATGATGTGTTTGTGTTTTAAGCTAAGTGTTATTACAAGAAAGTCAAAAAAGATTTAAAAAATTTAAAAGTTAAAGTTACAGTAAGCTAAGGTTGATTTAGTATTGAAGAATAAACTATATTTTAATAAATTTAGTATAGCCTAAGCATACAGTTTTTATAAAATCTATAGTAGTGTACAGTAATGTATTAGGCCTTTAAGTTCACTCACCATTCACTGATTCTTCTAGAGCAACTTCCAGCCCTAGAAGCTCCATTCATAAGTGCCCCATACAGGTATATCACATGTAATCTTTTTTTTTTTTTTTTAGACAGAGTCTCGCTCTGTCACCCTGGGTGGAGTCCAGTGATGTCATCTATAACTCACTGCAAGCTCAAACTCCTGGGCTTAAGTGATCCTCTTGTCTTCGTCTCCTAAGTAGCTGGGATTACAGGTGTGTGCCACAATACCAAGCTAATTTTTCTATTCTAGTAGAGATGGGGTCTTGCTCTTGCTCAGGCTAGTCTCAAACTCCTGAGCTTGAGTGATTCTCCCACCTCGGCTTCCCAGAGTGCTAGGATTATAGGCATGAGTCACCACACCTGGCCTACATTTTATTTTTTTTGAGACAGGGTCTCAGTTTGTTGCCCAGGCTAGAGTGAGTGCCGTGGCGTCAGCCTAGCTCACAGCAACCTCAAACTCCTGGGCTCAGGCGATCCTACTGCCTCAGCCTCCTGAGTAGCTGAGACTACATGCCTATACAGACTACAGGCATGTGCCACCATGCCCGGCTAATTTTTTCTATATATATTAGTTGTCCAATTAATTTCTTTCTATTTAAGTAGAGATGGGGTCTCACTCTTGCTCAGGCTGGTTTCAAACTCCTGACCTTGAGCAATCCACCTGCCTTGGCCTCCCGGGGTACTAGGATTACAGGCGTGAGCCACCGCGTCTGGCCCATTTTATCTTTTATATCACATTTTCACTGTACATTTTCTATGTTTAGATATACAAATACTCACCATTGTGTTATAGTTGTGTATAGTATTCAGTACAGTAACATGCCGTACAGGTGTGTAGCCTAGGAGCAATAGGCTGTACCATAACAGCTTAAGTGTGCAGAAGGTTATACTATCTAGGATTGCAGAAGGACACTGTACAATGTTTGCACAATGACAAAATTGCCCAATGGCACATTTCACAGAATGCATCCCGTTGTTAAGTGACTCGTGACTATACAGGGTTTCTCCAAATTTTTAAAACTTAGATTAGAAATCTGCCATTTGAGTCTATAGCCATACCATCCTGAACATGCTCAATCTTGTCTGATGTTGCTAAGCAGGGTCAGGCCTGGTTAGTACTTAGATGAAAGAAATCTGCCATTTGAACAAGAGCCAACATTAACTGAATGAACATGAGGGCTGAGATGCTAATACTCAAGAACTTGAAACCAAGAAATTACTGCAATACACAGGATGTTGAAGTTGTTAGGCTCAGGAGGATAAAGACCAATGTGGGGCATGCGCAGATGAGACTCCATCCAACCTGGGCAATTTTCCCGAGCCTTGGGGGAGCAGCTCACTGAAAGGACAGTGTTGTTAATAAACTACCTAACAAAAAAGAGAGAAAGATCACAGTACACAATTGCCTCTTTGTTTGATTATCAACCTGTACCTTAACTTGTTGTCTTTAAGAGTTTATTTTGGCCAGGCACAGTGGCTCATGCCTATAATCATACCACTCTGGGAGGCCATGGCGGGAGGATTGCTCAAGGTCAGGAGTTCGAAACCAGCCTGCGCAAGAGCGAGATGCCATCTCTACTATACATAGAAAGAAATTAATTGGCCAACTAAAAATATGTAGAAAAAATTAGCAGGGCATGGTGACACATGCCTGTAGTCCCAGCTATTCAGGAGGCTAAGGCAGGAGGATTGCTTGAGCCCAGGAGTTTGAGGTTGCTGTGAGCTAGGCTGATGCCATGGCACTCTAGCCCTGGCAACAGAGTGAGACTCTGTCTCAAAAAAAAAAAAAAAAAAAAAAAAGTTTGTTTTTATAGCATTTCAAAAATACTGAGTAGCTAGAAGGAGCATGGCCCTCTCCCACATCTGCCAGAATCACATTTTAAGAAGTCCAATAAAGCCAGACAAAAGGAAAAAAAACAAACCCCAAATCAACACAGTTCCTTCACAGCTGCCTCCTGTTATCATTTTACAATAGCTATTTTTTTTTTTTTTTTTTTTTTTACCATTTTTCACCCCCAATAAAAAGGCCCTTACCCTTGGAGCCAGCACTTCTTTCTTTCATGACATGCCCTGTCCTCTCTTGGAAAGTAAAATAAACTTTTTGCTTCAAACCTCTCCTAATCTTTGTGTTGAGAATTCTTTCTCATCCTGCAGTGCAAATTCCCACACTAGCATTCCCACCCTAGCACCCTGGCCCGTATGGAAAAGTCACTCTTCTACCTCTGTATGGGGAACTAACTTTTCTGCCTCTGTCTTAAAACCACTCCTTCCTTTGCTATGCAGCTCTCAAGATATCCTTCTCACTGGCCTTGGTACTATTTGGAACTTGGTGAATCTCATGGGCTCTGGAAATGGTCATACACTCAAGTCTAGGAGTGGTAGCTCTTTGGTTTGGTCTAGTGTGAAAAATCTGGTACTGGGTCTACCACTCAGGAGGTTGTCTTGGAGGGATGCCTCCTAACCCTCCTCCACATCCACCAGAAGCACATTCTGAGAAGTCTGGTAAAGCTAGTAGAGGGGAAAAAAACAAACACAGCCACCTCCTGTTATCATTTTACAACTGTGACCCCTCAGGGTCAGCACTTCTTCTTTCTTTCCTGCCATGCCCTGTCCTTTCTTGGGAAGTAAAATAAACTTTTTACTTCAAACCTATCCTAATCTTTGTGTCAAAAATTTTTCAAGCCTGTGGTGTGAGTTCCTACCCTAAGACTCACCATGAGTGCTAGGCTTCTGTTGTCCCTGTTGCCTAACTGTGAATAATAAAGTTGCTTTGCTTAACTTGTTGTCTGTTCTGTCTCTCTGGACTCATCCAAGTGGTAGAAGTTGCAGGCCAAGGTGTAGTGGGCTAAAGTATTACCAGTAACCAGTGCAGCATGAACCTGCTAGAGTAGCTGGTGCAGGTGAACTTCTTTCCTAATTGGGCCTTGGGAGAATAATGTTTCTTAAGGTCCCTCTGAAAGCAAGATCTTAGGTTATGATGCCCTGCCCAACAAAGGTGCACCATTGAGACTGGTGCAAGGAGCATAGGGAGCATACTCCCTTTCTGGTATTATTTCATGCCAGAGAGCAAGTCGGAGGCCATTAAGCTGAGGATGGGCGGGTGGGTAGAGCAAAATGCTCTAAGACTAAGAGGCAAAAACCCACAGGCCAAGGATTAGATAAAATCTATGTCACCCTATAGGGTTTCTAGTTTTAATTACTCATTCATGGAGCTGACTGAATGTAAATTTGCCAAAAGCCTATTTGGGTTTTTTTTTCTTTATTTTTAAAAATAATTAGGTAAACTAAGGAGTCAGGTTGTTAAGGGCTATTCTTGCCCATGAAATCACTACATGACTAATTAAAGCCTATTATTGCCAAGGCAATCACAAAGCTTCCAAACCCTATCTCCAGGAAATAGGATACTGAAGGGGAATCGTTCCCAACGTTCATCTTGGATGACCACTAAGAGTGAACAGTAAAGTAATCCCAGAGAATAGAACAGGGCAGTCAGATTGATTGCCTAAAGGAACTTTCTGCAATGACAGAAAGTCCTATTCTCTCTTTCTCTTTTTTTTTCTTGCCTTGAAAATGGAATCCTTATGGCAAGAAAGTCATGTTCTTTCTGACCAAGAGGATCTGATTTTCCTTGCAAACCCATGGCCAATTTTACTGCTTGATCTCTTCATCCCTCAATAAATTGTGAAGCAGTTAGTGCTCTTTAGTTGTGTATATTGGGTATTTTCTTGGTAGTTAAATTAACATTGAATACATAGATTGAAAAAGTACAAGGAAAGATTTCATTTGAACTAGAGGAATAGATAATATCTATGGATAGATACACTGGCCTTGTACCAGTGTCAAAAAATCTGACTATTCTTTGGGTTATCTCCCTTTGGAGGAGGTGGAAGATGATTATATTTTTAGCCATATATATTATTTTGCATTATGTTGTACAGGGACATTTTTGTGACTGTGTGAGTGAGAAGGAGGGTGTGTCTAGATGTCGGACAACTAAAATGTAGACTATAGTTAGGGGACTACAGGTTGGTTTGCTGGAAAGAGCTTAAACTATAATTGTAAAAATAGGAATAGTATAATAGAAACTGCATTGAATTGAGAATCAAGAAACTTGGAATCCAGGCCTGAGTCTGCTGACATCATCTTTGGGGGTATTTGTCAGGCTAGGTCAGTACTCTTTGATCTGTGGTAATAAAATATTCTGTGGTGCTAAGTCATAAACTAGTTTCATGCACATAGCTATTGGCTCAAGGTTGCAAGGGTACACAGACCGAACCTTTTAGGTATCTGAACTCACCTTAAAGGCCATGGGTATTTCAACGATGTAAAGATCCACGTAATCTAGCTGGAGGATTTTGAGCGTCCTCTCCAGGGCTGGGCGGACCATCTCTGGCTCATGATTTGTAGCCCACAGCTGAAAGGATCAAAAGGGAAGAGTTAACTAATGTCCACATTATTTTTACAATAATGTAGCCCTTTATTCTTTGCATAGTACTCACACACATTTCACTTCATAAAAATATGTTTAAGATGCAGTGTCACCTGAGTATAGGATGAGTTGATAAAACTCTTGACACCCAGAGTATAGCTTTATCCAAATATAGTACAGAAGACTTATAGATCTACTTGACCATGGAGTGCCTAATTTGGTGACAAAGTCTTCTTTCTTTCTGGGAAAATTCGCTAATAGACCCTTAGTGCTCCCACTTTTCCTCATTGTGTAACTAAGGTAACTTACACGATGTTCTAGTGGTTTTGACCTAGTCTGACACTTTATTTTCATGCCACTTTGATAAAAGATGTGATTCAAATGAGTGACGATTATGGCTATGTGCTGGGCTTCAGTGAATTCTTCACATTGTGGTAGGTGGTGCCTGGTGAAATTTTAAATCATTGCATAGATTTAGATTCCCTTTCACTGGTCTTTTGTTCTCATTTGGTCCTACTCAGACCCCAGGGCAATCTGGCAACTTCTCCATTTTGTTCACTTTGGGAAAAAAGTTTTGAATTTATATATATATATATATATATATATATATATATATATATATATTTTGTAACAAGAAAAAGAGTAAGCAAAAATCTGATTTTTTCCCACTATTGGACAATGATTTTTCTTTTTCTTTGCCTTAAAAGCACAGAGAAAACTTAATATGGAGAAAGTTGTGGGAAAATGTATTAAATGTGTTTTTGTTGTTGCTGGGGGGGGGCTTTGGTGTTCTTGCTGCCATATGGTCTAAGTGGAAATTCTGTTTTATATTTTAATTCACTTTTATTGAACAAGCATATATATTATTAGCTTTGTGCCAGGTAGTGTTTAAATGCTTTGTAAATGCGAACTCATAATCACATTAAGAAATAGTTAACATTATTATCCCCATTTTACAGAGAACAAAACTGAGGTCCAGAATTGCTAAGCAACTCACAGCTAGTGGTGACATCTGGGATTCTGACCTGGGTGATCTAGTATCAGAGTCAGTGCACTTAACCACTACCCCACCTTACTTCTCAGGCACTGACTGAGCTATAGTGAAAAACCAAACTCACAGGGCCAATAGCAACTGCACATTACATGAACTCAGCTGCACACACTCCTTCTGTTTATTTAAGTAAATACTCTCATATTTTGCCTGTATGTGCTTTATCACACATAGCACATTATTGACATTGTATATGTATAAATGTTGGGTTGCATGTACAGTTATACTTTTTGACAATTTATAGGATTTTAAAGGATGTTTTGACCACTTCTTATGTGCTAACTTTAACATCTACCCTAGCAAGAAATGACTCTATAGCAGCAGTCTCCAACCTTTTTGGCACCAGGGACCAATGTCATGAAAGACAATTTTTCCATGGACCTGGGGGATGGGGGGGATGGTTTCAGGATGATTCAAGTGCATTACATTTATTGTACAATCAAACCTCTCTGCTAACAATAAGCTGTATTTGCAGCCACTCCCCAGCACTAGCATCACCACCTCAGCTCTATCTCAGATCATCAGGCATTAGATTCTCATAAGGAGCGTGCAACCTAGATCCCTCGCATGCACAGTTTACAGTAGGGTTTGTGCTCCTATGCCAATCTAATGCTGCCCTGAACTGACAGGAGGAGGAGCTTATGTAGTGATGTGAGCGGTGGGGAGTGGCTGTAAATATATATGAGCCTTTGCTCACTCATTCACTACTTCACCTCCTGCTACACAGCCTGGTTCCTAATAGGCCACAAACTAGTATGGGTCTGTGGCCTGGGACTTGGGGACAATTGCAGCTCTATGGGACATAAAGGCTTGCATGGGGTGCCTACCCAAGAAGCCGGCACAGCTGGCTTTTTCCCCTTACTATCATGTTGAAATTTATCCCCATTAGTGCTTTTAGCTGTATTTTATTCATTATTACTCATGTACTGTGTTTGAACATATTACCATCCATTTGCCCATCTACTGTTGGTGGGCCTTTGAGTTCTTCCTAGTTCTGAGCTATCACTAACAATGGTGCTCTAGACATAGTTATAAATTATATTGGTCACATTAGACAAAAATTCTCTCGAGTGTATATTAAAAAGGGGAATTGCTAGGTTGTCAGGTATGCAGATTTTCAGCTTCACATGGATGAACCTTGGAAACATACTAAGTGAAATAAGCTAGACACAAAAGGACATATATTGTATGATTCCATTGGTATTAAATGCCCAGAATAGGAAAACTATAAAGACAGAGAGTAGATCAGAGTGGTTACCAGTGACTAGGGGAGAGGAATAAATGGGAAATGATTGCTAATGGGGATGAAGTTTCTTTCTGAAGCAATAAAAATATTCTAGATTTAGGTAATGGTGATGGTTGCACAACTTTGTATATATACTAAAAATCTTTGATTTAAAATGGTGCACTTTAGGTAGGTGAATTATATTTAGATTAAAAAAATAGTAATCTATGGACAAATTGGCCCCCACAAAAGAAAAAGACTGCTTTTTTTAAAGAAAACTTTGGCAAATGCTTATATAATATGAAACACCACCCCCTTTCCTACCACTTCCCAATCTTTCTGCTTTGTAGATTAGGCTTTTCCTGAATTAAGTTGTCTTAAATTAACGCCCATGTGTGAAGAAAGAGTTTTGTTCTAACCTTCATGGGGCTATTTAGACCCTAAGTTCCTTTCAAGAGTGAGGGATCTGACAGTTGAGAAGGAGCTTTGTCCAATGTTCTTTTGGAGAAAAGTAACCACAGATGTACCATTAATATAAGGAGATGAAGAATAAGGCAAGATCTCACCTTTCCGCAGTAGAAGATGTCCTCCCTCCGCACCTTTCCTTCTGCTATCTTCTCCCGGATAGCCTCCCCGACTTCGTGCTCGTTTTTGTAGATGTAGGCCCCGTCAATGTGTCTGTACCCTATGTCGATGGCAGCCTTCACTGATGTTGCACAGGCTCCCTTAGGGGTCTGAAATGACAAGGAAGTTGAGGTTGGAGAAAAGAGAAATGGGTCTTTCTTTTAGTTTAATCATCATTAATCAGGACATTTTGCATGTACTTTGTTTCACAGCTAAAATAACACATTTCACCAGGTGTAGTAGCTTGCACCTGTAATCCCAGCACTTTAGGAGGGCGAGGCAGAAGGATCACTTGAGGCTAGGAGTTCGAGACTGGCCTGAGCATGAGTGAGACCCTGTCTCTCCAAAATATAGAAAAATTAGCTGATTGTGATGACACATGTCTATAGTCTCAGTTATTTGGGAGGATGAGGGAGAGGGATTGCTTGAGCCCAGGAGTTTGAGATTGCTGTGAGCTGGGCTGACGTCACAGCACTCTACCCAGGCAACAGAGGGAGACTCTGTCTCAAAAAAAAAACAAAAAAAAAAAACAAAGAAGATGTCCAGAGACAGGAGAAACTGACTTCCTAGAGGACTTCCCTTCCCCACAAGGAGACTCCATTAATTCCAGGTCTGCCCTCAGTTTTATGGGTTCGAAAATGTGATTTGATCAGTTTTACTCATGACAGGAGATTTCATGAAAGCTTTGTCATAGGAGGACAAAAGCTAAGTGAAGAAAGCTAAATTATAAATTAAAAGTTTAGGTAAACAAATTGAGATATATCCATAGCACGGAATACTACCCAGTAATAAAAAGGCATGAACTGATGATACACATAATGTGAATGAATCTCAAAGTAATTATATTGGGTTAAAGAAGCCAAGCCAAAAAGAGTAAATACTTTATTATTTCACTTATATAAAATGCTAGAATATACAACTAGTCTGTAGTGAGAAAAACAGATTGCCTGGGGGAAAGGGTATGGGTAGGAAGAGGGATTACAAAGTGGCATGAGGAACACTTTAGAGTTGATATATATGTTCATCATCTTTTTTTTTTTTTTAAAATTAAAAATTTAAACTATTATATACTTCTTTTTTTTTTTAAGGTAGCAAGGACTAGGCCTGTGAGTATGTTCATTATCTTGACTGTGGTAATGGTTTCACAAGTGTATGTATATGTCAAATTCATTAAATTGTTTACTTTAAACTTCTATAGTTTATTGTATGCCAATTACACCTCAGTAAAGCTGGAGAATAAAGATTGTTGGGGGACATGTTAGGTTTTTCAAGATATATTTTTATCAAATTTGATAGACAAATCTTTATTAACCTGCATTACACAAAAGAAGAATTAAGCATATCCTGTCTCCTAAACATTAACAGGACAAAAAACAAAAACAAAAACAAAACAAAACCTACAAATTATTGACACTTGAGGTAGATATTATCCATTTGCTATATTTTTGTCCTTTCCAAAACTCATGTTGAAAATTAATCCCCAGTGTAACAGTGTTGGATGTGGCACCTAATGGGAGGTGTTCAGGATTAATGAGGCTATAAAAAGGGCTTGAGGGAGTGAGTTCTCCCTCTTCTGCTCTTCTGCCATGTGAGTAACAGCATTTTTCCACACCAGGAATGCAGCATTAAAGGTGCCATTTTGGAAGCAGAGAGACTGGGCTCTAACCTGCCAGTGCCTTGATCTTGGACTTCCCCGGCTACAGACCTATGAGAGAATAAATTACTGTCCTTTATCAATTACCCAGTCTTAGGTGTTTTGTCACAGTAGCACAAAACAGATTAAGACACCATTTTTCAGATTTCACATAAATCAGTGTTCTTCAGTTGTGATGACATTTAAATATACAAGAGTGTGGCTCATTTTGGTTCTTTCTTTCAATATATTTCCTTGGAGCCCAAACTACTTGGGCTTGTTTCTATGTTTTCAGTGTTCTAACCATTGCTTGCCAAGTCAAAGCAGACTGTGAACTCTGGACTACAGTTATTGATTCGTTGCAGGATAAGTGAGGCAAAAAATCTGAAATGTATTTCTAGTGACTTTCTAGTTCTGGGTAGGAAAGAGAAAGCCCTAGGAGCATATATGGTATTTTCTTTCCCTACTTCAGTTGAAAGTCATCACTACAGAGAAGATAAGAGGATATGAACAGTGAACAAACCAGCTGCACAGATGATATTAGAAGTTAAAATTCATAGTCACAAATATCAAATAGCTGAGAAAAGGAGACACACATTCCAGGAATATTAGAAATAGTTGTTTGATTAATTAAGTAACCACATGATTAATGGGGCTTGAATATAAATTGGATTAAGAGGCCAGAAAAAAAACCTATAAAATAAGACATATGAGTGATGGCAAATGTGACAACCAACATACAATGGAAAGGACAGATGAGGCATGATGTCCAGAGATTTACAGGGAAGAAAATAAAAACATACTTTCATTCTCGGGTGTCTACATATTAATGAAAAGCATGCAGCTTAATACAAGATGGTCAATATAACCTCAGCAATATCACTGAGATTTTATGAGCTGGAACTGATCATGTAAACATAGACTAAAGTACACAATGAAAGGAATCCTCAGCAATGCATATAAAAGTGTATGCTTGTATTTACAAAGATTAACCCAAGAAATGAAGTACAGAAGAGCATTTAGGATAAAGAGAGTGAGAAAGGCAAGGGCTCAGGCAGGAGTGTGGTCTACCACAGTGCTGAATGTATATGGATGATGCTTTGTTTAACAAGGATTATGGCAAAGAAGCGAACTGCAGTAGTAAAAATCTTTAATTATTTAGCTACCATCAAGGAGCCTTTTCTAAATTTTGTGGGAAAGTCTGAATGTAGAAGGGAGGAATGCAGGAGATGAAAAAGGTAAGTAAAACACTCCCTAGAAGACTATGGTCACCTGTAGTCCCTGTGAAAATTTAAAGCCCATATGGCCAAAGTTTGGTGACCAGTTTAATGTGATTATCAGGTAGCAGTGACTCCAAGGAATCTGTAGGAAGCAAACACAAATGTTCTCTGAAAGAAAGAAAATACTTGGTTTTTGCCCTTTGGGCATGCTAATAAACAATTTTTTTTTTTAAGGCCGGGGTAAGGTGGCTCATGCCTGTAATCCTAGCATTTTAGGAGGCCAAGGCAGGAGGATCACTTAAGCCTAGGAGTTTGAAATTGCTGAGCTATAGTGATGCCACTGCATCCCATGAACCCCAACCCTGGGGGACAGAGTGAGACCCTGTCTCAAAAAAAAAAAAAAAAAAAAAAAATACCACAAAAACTTTTTCCCCCCACAGTATTGATCTGCACACAGTTGGAGAATCCAGGTGCCCAAGAAAACAAGACTCCATAAGGGAAAACTGGCAGGAACAATTGAGAGCCTGAACAGAACCATAATATTAGAGTTATCTTTGGAATGAAACTGGACTTATACCTCACAGCATACACAAGCCTCTGCTCCAGTCACCATGCCTCCTGAGGACACACGCCCTGCTGTTCTGTAACTGCCATATCAAAACTAGAAGGGAATTCCCAGGATAAATAGCAAGAGACTTGGCCATATACACAAAGCATGTGAAAGAGTTACCTGAACCTGGCATTCACCTTCTACCTCTTGTGGGATGAAAGGTTTTTTTTTTTTTTTTGAGACAGAGTCTCGCTTTGTTGCCCAGGCTAGAGTGAGTGCCATGACATCAGCCTAGCTCACAGCAACCTCAAACTCCTGGGCTCAAGCAATCCTGCCTCAGCCTCCCGAGTAGCTGAAACTACAGGCATGCGCCACCATGCCTGGCTAATTTTTTCTATATATATTAGTTGGCCAATTAATTTCTTTCTATTTATAGTAGATATGGGGTCTCGCTCTTGCTCAGGCTGGTTTCGAACTCCTGACCTTGAGCAACCCGCCGGCCTTGGCCTCCCAGAGTGCTAGGATTACAGGCGTGAGCCACCGCGCCGGCAGGGATGAAAGGTTTTGAAAAGAATCTCAGGCATGCCACATAGAAAGGGCTAAATTTTGGCATCTAATGCCACTTCTAGGACTAAGGCTGATTCTGAAGTTAAATCTAATTTAGTACTTTTATTTCAGAGTGGAAGAATTGGGCATGGATGATCCTAGCCTCTGTCTCCCCAGCCCTGGGTTGGATGATTACAGAGTTTGTGAGTCATGTGGCTTGGGACAGAAAGCCTTGAGTCTGTCCTATCTGAGAGGCTCCCATCTCCCCATCCACCCTTACCCCCAGCTCTACCCCTTCCCTACCCTAAATCTTCCAGACACATTTTACATATTTTTCTTCACATTAGAGATTCTGATTTTGTGAGATATATTCATAAACCCCATACATTACTTGACAACTGGTAGTATTTCTGATCACAAATGTGCTTGGTGCATGCATGATCATTTCTAATAGTATTCCTTATATGCCATATTCTCTAAGTGTTGTGTCTTACCTTCTGAAGTAAGTTATAGTTCTTTGTGGAAGTGACATGTGACTGCTTTTGAATGTCTCCAACCCATAGCATTTAATATTACTAGGTGCATAATAGGTTCTTAATAATACTTACTGGTAGACACAAAACCTTGAGCCCCACAGAATTGCAGAATACATTTATGTGTATATATACATACCCACATACACATTCCCAGATACTTTCATATACATAGAAATATACATAGAAAATCATAAAGATATGCAGCTTCACTAACATAAGATGTATTCATAAAAAGCAGTATAGTCTGGGATTTGGAACATTCAATTCCCAGCTCTGTCCTTTAGTATTATAACCTTGGGGCAATTTATTTAATCTCTGTGCCTCAATTTTCTTATCTGTCAATGAGGTTAACTGATATCTATTTGATAATGTTGTGAGGAACAAATTAGAACATGCATGTAACATAAAACTTAAAAGAGCTTCTGGCACACGATTAAGTGTTCAAAAATTCTAGCTATTGTTTTGTAACTGTTTACATCTCCATGCCCTCTGATGCATGCATACATATATAACTCGTCTCACAAACTCAGTTATTTGCTTGACAAGCATTAGCTGGACACCCATTACATACTAGACACTATCCTGGGAATATAGGGCCCATAGTCTCTTTCCTAGTGGATTTCACAGTCTGGTGAGAAAGATTGCAGAGAAGCAATGATTACAATATAGTGTTATTCGGGCTGAGAAACTGATACCGGAAAATATGGCATGATGAACTGAATGATCAAGGTCTCTTTGACCTTCCCAAAGCCTTTTTTTTTTTTGAGATAGAGTCTGACTTTGTTGCCCAGGCTAGAATGAGTTCCGTGGCATCAGCCTAGCTCACAGCAAGCTCAAACTCCTGGGCTCAAGCAATCCTGCTGCCTCAGCCTCCCAAGTAGCTGGGACTCCAAGCATGCAGCATCATGCCGGCTAATTTTTTCTCTATATATTAGTTGGCCAATTAATTTCTTTGTATTTATAGTAGAGATGGGGTCTCGCTCTTGCTCAGGCTGGTGTCAAACTCCAGAGCTCAAATGATCTGCCCGCCTCAGCCTCCCAGAGAGCTAGGATTATAGGCATCAGCCACCCTGACCGGCTCTTCCCAAAGCCTTTATCTGCTTAAGATCCAGACTCACCAAGGAGAAGTATTGTTTTTTTTCTTCCCCTCCCTGACAGACCAGGAATGTAACCATAACTTATCAGACCCTTTCACTGTCAAAGATAACTAGTTACAAGTTAATCTCTGTTCCAGGACCCATTCATTTTTCCTAGTAATCCTTTATTGCCCCTCAACAGAATTCCTCTTTTCCTCCCTCCCATAATCTGTTTTGCCAGGATAATATCGTAGGGGCCAAGGGAAACTTCCTTTTGGTCCTCTGAAATTTCACTGAAAAATCAAGTCACAAAAGGCAGATTAATTGGAGAAAGGCATACAGATTTATCTAATGTGTGTACATGAGAGCTTTCAGAATGAAGACCTCTCAGTGGGATACAGGAGCTTATATGCCATTTTGAGATTACAGAAAGAATGTGGGCTCTGAGCATGGCCAAAGACAAGTGACAGAAAAGGAGCAGGGAGGAATTCTTTTGAGGGGGCAATAAATTAAAGATACACCTTATCTTGGGAAAGGGTCTGTTCAGGTGTGGTTATATCCTGGGTCTTCTTTTCTGCTATATGATAATGGGGGAGGAGGAGGAAAAAACAATTGTTCTCCTTGGTGGGTCTGGATCTTAGGCAGGTAAGGGAACTTCAGAGAACAACTTTATCCTATGCTTAGGGAGAGACAATGGGCGGAGGGTATTATGGGGAAGGTCAGAGGGACCTAGAGGTTTCTTCAGCTCAGCATGTCAATACACCATATTTTGGGATATTGGTTTCTGAGCCCTATTGGGAGGTGGGCAATCACTCTATGATTCTTCCTGTGCATGCACATGTTAAATAAATTCATATGCCTTGTCTCCAGTTAATCTGCTTTTTGTGAGTTGATTTTCCAGCGAAGCTTCAGAGGGCTAAGGGCAAGTTTCCCTCACCCTGCCAGTGTGGTAGATACTATGACAGAGTCCAGCAGAAGCAGCTATGTAAACACACAGCAGGGCCACGGTGTGGGGGCTGAGAGATGGATTTCTAAGAAGTGATATCCCTTGAGCTGAGTCATGAAGATTTGGTAGGAGTTAGACAAATGAGCAAAGCAGAAGAAAGGGTGTTGCAGGTAGAGGGCAGCATGTTTAATGGCATGGAAATAGATTATTCAAGAAATGTAGGTAATGTTTTATACATAGGAGAGGTGGGAGAGTGGTGCTCCCTACAGCTGCACTGACAGGACAGGTCTTGGCTAAACCATAAAGGCAAGGTACAAGGGAAGGAATGTGGACTATAATTGATGGAAGCCATTGAAATGATTAAACAGAGACATGACACAATCAGATTTGGGTTTGAGGAACATCTTGATGGTCCCAGTCTGGATAATTAATAGGAAGGGGATAAAACTGAAAAAAAAAAGCCCAAAGATAAATGAGAACCTAACCTAAGGTAATGATATAGAGGAGGGTATGAATTGGGAACTGTTTTGGATAGAAAATCAACAAAGCTTCAGTAATCATTTGGATGTAATGTGGAGAAGAGGGCAGAATGAAGGCATATATTCTTGGGTGGCTGAGTGGCAGTGTCACAAGAAGTATTGTTTGGGGAAGAGGAGATAGATGAGTATGATCCTGTCGTGTTGAGTTAGAGATGTGTGTGGAAAGTGGTTACAAACCTAGTTGTACATCAGAATTACCTGAGGAATGATTTGTTATATGCAGATTCTCGGGCCCTATCCCTAGGGATCTAAATTCAGTAGATTGAAGGTGATGCCCAAGAATCTGTATTTTTAAAAAAACGTTCCATGTGGTTCTGATGTAGTCAGTCCATAGCTGTATGGGGGAGCTATAACAAACAGAATAGGAAATATTGATTTGGGAGTCTCTGCATACATGTGGTTGGAGCCAAGATCATGAACGAAGTCATATAGACAATGTACAAAGAAATAAGAGAAAGGGGCTGATGACAAAGACTCATGTAATTGTTCCAAGAGTAATTTTCCTTCACATTACCAAAAACAAGGGAAATGGGCAACTAAAGTGGAATGTAGGACTGTGTTACAAGTGTTAACTACTCTTGACATTGGTAGTTTACTTCTCTTCCTCTGCCTTCCATTCTCATGCTGCCACCTGAGTTATCTTTAAAACACAGATAAGGTGATATTATTTCTTTGCTTCTAAACTTTAGATAATTTCTCATTTCTATAGAATGAAGTCTCAACTCCTTAGCAAGGTATTCAAAGTCCTAGCTGAACAGTCTCAATTTGCATTTTCAGATTAGCTGCCCTCACCCTTAACTGCATGTGTCAGCCACTGTGGGCCTGCCCTTCCCTGGGCATAGCATATAACCTTTCCCTTCTTCCTAAAATGTCCTGCCTCAACTCTACTTCCTTGCCTGGCTAATTCATACTCAGCTGTACAGAGTTCATTCATACACGATCGCTCAAATTTCAGTAGCATTTCCACATATGCCACTGTTTATTCTGGTAAACAGCATGAAATGTCAAACTGCAATGAGGAAAGATATTCTTCTTATAAACTGAAACTTTACCAAGTTTTAAAAGAAGCCCATTTCAATGTTATGGGCCGTTTTAATCCCTTTCCCTTGTTTTCAGAGAGATACTACTTACATTTCTAGGACAGTATTGATCCTTCTTGTCATTGTTCTACAATTAGTTGTTAAAGAGTGCCTCTATTCAATTTTTAATCCCTAGATAATAGATACTATTCTCTTCATATTTGAAGGTTCTATAGCCTAAATAGTTAATGTGCGACAGTGATTTACTAAGTGTTTCTTAGGATGAACTAAAAATTCTCAAATGTAACAAAAATCACAAGCCATAAACACAGAAATTTCATGTGCCTCGGTTTACTGTAGTAATCGGATTTTGCTGAATTTTAGTAAGGGATACAGAATGATTTCATTCTCTAATCCAAACTAATTTTTAATCATTCATTGATTCAGTTTAAACTTTTGTTCAATACCTAGTCAGGCAAACAGTCATCTTCGGAGGTTACTCTCATTATTATTATAAGAAGGAAAGCAATGAGATCCACTTAAAATGAATGGCAGATATTCTGCAGGCAAATGTTAAAGAGAGAAAGAAACTTACCCACTGAGGTTCTGAGTAGGTACCAAGTCCGATAATAGGAATGCTGTTTCCATCTCTTAAAGGTATGCGGTGATTTGCAGCACTGAGGTACATCTTGGAGAGAGAATCTGAGGTTGCAGTTTACTAGGAATGATTCTGAACACAGCAGGGAGTCTTCTTGAAAAGGTGTCCTAGAGCCCATTTAATCATAGAAAGGAGGGCCAGAGGGAGGGGCGGAGGGAAAGAAAGGAGATTAACATATCTATTTCTCAACTGGTTTTTTCCCAGGTTGTCCTGGAAATCCTAAACAAGGTTGTCCTTTGAACTTCCGCAGAGGCATGTAAATAACATAAGCCCTTGAGGGCTTATGCGTACTTCTCTGCAAAGAAAAGACTGAAAAAACAAAAGGAAACAAATCTTTTGGACTCTATCAGTTAGGATGTTTTTATTGGTGTTGGGGCTTAAACAGCCACAAATATGGCTCTTTTACCTACTAAACTGAAAAAGAAGCCTCAAGGTCTCTCTGAACCCCTGCCCCCTACTGTCTCTCCCAAAGCATGGGACTCTCTGAGGTTGCCTTATCTGCCTACAGTCCTGAGTCACCAAAGAAGAAAACAGTGATCTCTGGTCCTTTTCCAGAGTTTTCATTAATTGAACCCATATCTCAGGAAAGAAGACTAAATCTTCTTTTTTAACTTTTTGGTAGAGAAAAGTTAAGAATTAGCTGGGTGTGGGGATGTGTGCTTATAGTCCCACCTACAAGGTGGGACAAGCATTTGAACTCCGAGTTGAAGGTCACAGTGAATTATGATTGCACCACTGCACTGTAGCATGGGTGACAGAGTGAGACTCTTGTCTCTAAAATAAAAAAAATAAGTAATACAAGTCTTTTAGAATTTGTCTTGCAGGTTTTCTAATCCTCACTGGAAGACAAGAGAGAGAAAGAGAAAGAAAGAAAGGGAAAAAAGAAAATTAAAAGCCATTTCTAAATTTGGAATTGGGTCAATTTCACCTGGAGATTCTGGAGATTGTTAAGAAAAAGTGTCCGGACCCGCGGGACCTTCTGTTACTCGCGGGGGCGAGGGGGACCGTGTCTGAAAGAGATGAGCGAGAGAAAGAAACGAGACCAATCGAATGATTGTCAAGGTCTACTTTATTTGGATTTTTATTAGGTTTTATATACAGAAAACAAGGAAGTAGAAACAGAAAAATAGAGTGTTGACGATGAGGCTTGGGTCTGGGTTAATCAGCCCCAATCAGCGTCTTATCAGTATCCTGTTTTTGACTGGTTACTCATCTCCAACCTGGCAGGTGGTCGGGAACAATTGCAGTCAGCATACCCTGGAGCATCCCGTGGTCAGCACGTCATGGACTGCATTCTTCTCAGAGCTATAGCTGGAATTTTCCAGGGCGAAGTCTGTGTGTAGGACGAGTCATAGGGGAGTTGAGGGTCTTTGAGGGTCCTTGCCTCTAACAAAAAAGGAAAAGGGTGGTAGGTAGGGACACAAGGAACAAATATTTATTAAGTGTTCCTCAAAAGGAATGTGCTCTGTCTAAAATGAGAGCCGTGGACCTGGTGACTTCAAAAGTAAGTAACTTGTATCCATTGAGGACGTTAGGGACTGAACTCTGACTTTTTTTTTTCTCTTGCTCAAATTCCTTTCTAAGAATTCTGATCAGTCATGTATACAAATGGTAAGTATTCATTATTCTGGTTTAGTATTACGTGACAGGTAGAAGACCCCCATATCTTAACTCAAGCCTCCCTTTCTACTGACTCTAGGTTTGTAGGCAAAGCTTAACTCTTTCAACCAACTGCCAACTAAAGAATCCTGAAAACTTACCTATGACTTATAAGCACCCCACAAGATGTCCCTCCTTTTCAGGCCAAACCAATGTATACCTTCTGTGTATTGATTTATGATTTTACCTGTAATTCTTATCTCTGTGAATGCATAAAAGCATAGTATAAGCCAGAGAGCTCAGGCGCCTTTTCTCCCTGGGCCATTGTTGCACATATTTGGCTGAGAATAAATCTCTTTAGCCTTTCCTCAGCTGCCGCCAAGGTGCTCGGTTCTTCCGAGGAAGCTAAGGCCGCGTTGGGGTGAGGCCCTCACTTCATCCGGCAACTAGCACCGCGCCCGGCAGCGCCAGCCCTGTACTCGCCCGCGCCATGGCCTCCGTCTACGAGCTCGCCTGCATCTACTCGGCCGTCATTCTGCACGACGATGAGGTGACCGTCACGGAGGATAAGATCAATGCCCTCATAAAAGCAGCTGGTGTAAATGTTGAACCTTTCTGGCCTGGCAGACGGGCAGGCCATGGCGCGGGCGAGTACAGGCTGGCGCTGCCGGCGCGGTGCTAGTTGCCGATGAAGTGAGGCCTCACCCAACGCGGCCTTAGCTTCTCGGAAGAACCGCAGCCTGGGCGGCAGCTGAGGAAAGGCTAAAGAGATTTATTCTCAGCCAAATATGTGCAACAATGGCCCAGGGAAAAAGGCCTGACGCTCTCTGGCTTATACTATGCTTTTATGCATTCACAGAGACAAGAATTACAGGTAAAATCATCAATACACAGAAGGTAATACATTGGTTTGGCCTGAAAAGGAGGGACATCTTGTGGGGTGCTTATAAGTCATAGGTAAGTTTCAGGATTCTTTAGTTGGCGTTGTTTGAAAGAGTAAGCTTTGCCTACAAACCTAGAGTCAGTAGAAAGGGAGGCTTAGTTAAGATATGGGGGTCTTCTACCTGTCACGTAATACTAAACCAGAAATGAATACTTACCATTTGTATACATGACTGATCAGAATTCTTAGAAAGGATTTGAGCAAGAGAAAAAAAAAGTCAGAGTTCAGTCCCTAACGTCCTCAATGGATACAAGTTACTTACTTTTGAAGTCACCAGGTCCACGGCTCTCATTTTAACAGAGCACATTCCTTTTGAGGAACACTTAATAAATATTGTTCCTTGTGTCCCTACCTACCCCCCTTTCCTTTTTTGGTTAAGGCAAGGCCTCAGAAGCCCTCAACTCC